CCACAACCACAACCACAACCACAACCACCACAACCACAACAACCACAACCACCACAACCACAACAACAACGACAACCACAACCACCACAACAACCACCACCACAACCACCACAACAACAACAACCACAACCACAACAACCACCACCACAACCACCACCACAACCACCAGAACCACCACAACCACAACCACAACCACAACCACAACCACAACCACAAGAGCAACAGCAACAACAAGCACAACAGCAACAACATCCACAACAGCAGCGACAACAACCACAACCACCACAACAACAACCACAACAACCACAAAACCAACAACAACAACAACAACAACAACAACAACAACAACAACAACAACAACAACAACAACAGCAGCAGCAGCACCTCAACCACCACCACCACCTGCACCACGACCACCACCAGCACCACCACCACGACAACAACAACCAGGCCACGACAACCACTACCACCACAACAACAACAACAACCACGACAACCACGACAACCACAACAACCACCACAACCACAACCACAACCACCACCACAACCACAACCACAACAACAACCATCACCACCATCACCACAACTACCAGAACAGCAACCACAACAACAACAGCAATAACAACCACAAGAACAACAACCACAACCACAACAACAACCAACACCACCACAACAACAACAACCACAACCACAACCACAACAACCACAACCACCACCACAACCACCACCACAACCACCACCACAACCACCACAACCAGAACCACAACCACAACCACAACAGCAACAATAACCACAACAGCAACAACAACCGCAACAACCATAACAACCACCATAATAACAACCACCACCACAACAACCACCACCACAACCACCACGACCACCACAACCACCACCTGCATAATAACCACAACCACAACCACAACCACAACCACGACCACCACAACCACAAAAACAATTACAAACAACCACAAAAGCAACCACAACCACAACCACAACCACAACAACCACATCCACAACCACAACCACAACCACAACCACAACGACAACCACAACGACAACCACAACCACCACAACAACCACAACCACCACAACAACAACAACCACAACCACAACCACAACAACCACAACCACCACCACAACCACCACCACAACCACCACAACCACCACAACCAGAACCACAACCACAACCACAACAGCAGCAACAACCACAACAGCAACAACAACCACAACAACCACATCAGCAACAACAACCACAACAGCAACAACAACAACAACCACAGCTACCACAACAACAACCACCACAACAACAACAACCACCACAACCACCACAACCACAACCACAACCACAACAACAACCACAACAACAACAACAACAACAACAACAACAACAACAACAACAACAACATTAACCAAAACAACCATAACAACCACCATAACAACAACCACCACCACCACGACCACCACCACCACAACAACAACAACCACCACGACAATCACCACAACCAAAACAACAACAACAACAACCGCCACCACAATAAGCACCACCACCACCACCACAACAACAACCACCACCACCACAACCACAACCACAACCACCACAACCATAAAAACAACCAGAAAAAACAACCACAAAAGCAACCACAACCACAACCACAACCACAACAACAACAACAACAACAACAACAACAACAACAACAACAACAACAAGCACAACAACCACAACCACAACCACAACAACCATAACAACCACCATAACAACAACCACCACCACAACAACCACCACCACAACCACCACCACCACCACAACCACCACCCGCATAACAACCACCACCACAACCACAACAACAACAACAACAACAACAACAACAACAACAACAAGCACAACAACAACAACCACATTACCACCACCAACAACAACAACCACACCAACCGCACCACCACCAACAACAACAACAACAACCACACCAACCACAACAACACCAACAACAACCACTACAACATCAACGATTACACCAAGAACCACACCACCACCACCACCACCACCACCAACAACAACAACAACAACAACAACAACAACAAGCACACCACCACCACCAACAACAACAACCACACCAACCACCACCAGAACAACAACAACAACAACAACAACAACACCAACCACCACAACCACAACCACAACCACCACAACCACAACCACCACCACAACCACCACAACAACCACAACCACCACAACCACAACCACAACAACCACCACAACCTCCACCAGAACAACCACAACAACAACCACCAGAACAACCACAACAACAACCACCACAACCACAACCACAAGAACAATCACAACAACCACAACCACCACAATCACAACCACAACCACCACAACAACAACCACCACAGAAACAACCATCACAACCACAACCACCACCACAACAACCACCACAACAACCACCACCACAACCACCACCACAACAACAACCACCACAAC